TTCTTTTCGATCTTTTCATCCTTATTATGATTAGTTTTCTTGCAGCAACGAGTGAGCACACAATAAGAGTCTCATTCATTGATTATATCATAGTCAACTCATTATTAATCATGCTTGTATCAGCCTGTTCGCTTATTGGTTTCTGTCAGGGCTTATCAGTCAGCCAATAGTATTTTTCTCTCACAACGAACCAGCATCAGCCGAGCTTATCAGCCCAGAAACCAACCAGCGAACAGGCCGCATATGCCATGACGACACAGAGATTAGAGAGGAGATCAGAGCATGCACAATTGGGTATTATTGACTTACATACTAAATTAAATACGTACACGTGTTTGTTTAAACTGTTTCCACTGTCACAATTCTGAGTGCGCCTTTCAGAATGCCTGCGAATGCTTTATTAAACTTTGTCCATACAAATACAATACAAAGCGAAGTAGGTTAGAATTTTCACAATGATACATATATCATTGTATCAATCAATCAAATTAAGTCGCGGGCAACTCCGTCTCAGACTCTCACTACGTAGAGGTTAGATTACTTATATTAATTATACAGTACTTTTTTATAAAAAATACACCAATCATCCTATGAATATGCGCACGCATGAAGATTTGTCGATGGATCGGAAGACAGCAAGCATCATGAACATTGGTAGTAGTGCAACTAAACAACTTGCGCAAATACACATATATTGCTAATCAAAAAAAAAGTACACATATATTGACCACACTTTATGATGAGCGCTTAGTTAGCATCCCAGCCGTGCATTGGTGTTGATAAATACATTTTGCTGCAAGTTGCAAACATGTGTGATGGAGGATTGCTCGTCGGCATGCTGCAAGTTGCACACTTTATGATGCTTCGGGACAATTTAAATCGCAAACATGTGGTGCAGAAATTCTCGTCAAGCATCCACTAGCTAGTAGTAGTGTGTGTCTGCATGGCACATATGACCAATTTACACTGTGCATGCGATGTGATGGCTACTAATCTTATATAGTTGCATTCAAACTATCAGCCTGTTCGCTTATTGGTTTCAGCCAGCCCAAACCAGCCAGCCAACAGTGTTTTCCTCTCATAAAAAACCAGCACCAGCCAGCCCAAACCAGCACCAGCTCCAACCAGCGAACAGGCCCTATGTCCTATATATGTGGAACTCAAGCCGTAAATTTTAACCAAATCAAACAAACATAAATACACTCGTAATACCGTTTTTGTTATATATACGTGTGTATACACGCGCAAACAGCAGTCCAGCTAGGCCTGCTTCTGTAGTCCCCTGTTATTCCAGTGCTGTCGTTGTTGCAGCTGCTAGGCTGGTGCTGCATGCAGTAATAATGCAGAGTTGAGTCTGCCAACGATCTCCTCCGTTGTTACGGTGAAGCCCTCCTCCACCTGCAGATCGAAATTAAAGCATATATTATCATAATTCGGCACCTTTATTTATATAATAACTCGCAAGAGATCTCTCCTCGTCGTTGTCGTCAACGGTACCAGAGAAACCTAGTGATGTTATACGACAACTCCCTCACAGCGACGAGTAGTACTTAATTATTTGTATGAATGGTATACGTACGTTTGAAACTCAACTGAATAACTCTAGATTATTAACAAAATCCCCCCAAATATTCTCTAAACAATTCTGAAGGGGATATTTTACATGTACCTTCAAGAATATCTCCGTTTATGCTCAAATGTCTAAGACAGTGTCTCTATTATGTTGCACACTCTATGTAGTATGTGTACAGTAAACAAACTGTATAGTATGCCAAATTAATTTGTATGGCATGAATAATCAGAGAAGTCTAGCTACACAAGTGTCTGTATATGAGATTTTGTTGTAGGTAGACATCTTAGCTACTAGGTAAGAGAATCGTTTTGTTTTTCTCTGTATCATATGCACATATCGCTTAGTCTTTCTTCAGAAGCTCTTATTAGGTATGCTAATAATGACGTAGTTGAGCCTATTATACTGTATTTTTCTTTAAAGAAATAAACCTTTCTTAGACATGTGCTTTGATCTGGCAGTACTGTTCATACACTATGCCTAAACCACCTTGCATTATACATACCTTAATTAGGAACATACATTGCCTGTCATTTGGATGGCATATATATATTTACTGCTGGCTGGTTTGGTGTGAGAGAAAAACACTATTTCTGGCTGGAAATTTACGATCGTTTACGAGCAAGCGAACAGGCTGTGACTAAAGGCTACCAAATGAAATTAGGTGGATTCGTTAAAAAAGGAGAGCTGGAAAAGGTTTGTCTAGTTTTCGAATAAAAATTGCTTTTTAAATGGTTACATCACAATAAAGATCCACATCCACAAAATAAATAATGTGGTTGTTAGGATATTTAAGTATAAAACTTTATCATCATATAAGGGTGTCATGTTCTTTATACTCCCTGATCCGTCCACTGAAGAATACAATTATGGTATCCGTGTCGGTCAATGGAGCTCAAGTTTAACTAAGTTTATAGTAAATAATATTACTACTGATGTCTCTAAATAAATTTATTGTGAAAATATATTATATAACTAATTTAATGGTACTTATTTTGCATGATGAATGTTTGTACTTTTTTAAATAAATTTAGTCAAAATTCAGACCGTTTGACTCCTCGAAATCTGAGAATTGCATTCTTTGGTCGATGGAGGGAGTACACCAGGAGCTTGTAATAAATATTGGTTATAGCACAAGTGAAATTGATCAAATATATACAAGGATATATCATGTATGCTTTAAAACATTGCCTTAGCACGTATATATAATCTCACACATATATACATTTTTAAGAGGCTAGATCTTAATATCCCAAATGGGTTTCTCTATATATAATATGTGTTGTGTTCAATTCACTAAATAGCACGTGATAAGAGAATCTCCAAGAAAAGCTAGTACAATCATTAAATTAAATTAATGCACAACTTTCTCCAAGCTCATGTAACCACAATATATATGGATGATGTTATGTACAATTCTAACATTTACATTTTCTGTATACATGATGCTAATGCTTATTATTTTACAATTTTGTAAACAAACATTATCAAATTTGTAACTATCTGACCTTAAGAAATTAAAACAAGTTATTTACATTTTTAATATAGTTTATTGCAAGAGAATCAGTTTGCAACTGTATTAGATTAATCAATGTCATTATAGCATGGAACAACAAAATAAATGGCATATAATACCTTATTTCTTGTTTTCACTAGTGAGAAGATTTTTGTGATTTTATCCTTTTATATAGACTAATATGGGAATCCAAGCCGTCGAAGACGAATCGAATGAGGAAAAAGTCTACTTAACCCCCCTATCTTTCATACATGGTCTACTTCACCCCCCAAAGTATGAAACCGTCTGTTTTACCCCCTGAACTTTCCAAAACCGTCTATTTTAACCCCTCGGGCGGTTTTTGACAGCGGTTGCTACAGTAACAGCGTGTTGCTACAGTGCCGGTGGCTTTGAATTTTTTATTTATTTTCGGTGAATTTTTGAAAAATCATAGTAAATCATAAAAAAATCATAAAATGAAAAATCTAATTTTATTGAACTCCACATTAGTAGATCTACACAGTGAATATATAATACGGTATGCTTTAGTACAAATTTTTTACTGTAGCCTTAGATTAATTGGAAAATCTAATTTTATCTGTAATTAATTAGAATTTATCTATAACTAAGTTATACATAGTCCAATGAGTACGAAATTTTTACTATATTTCAAGCATACAATAATTAGCGTACCATAAAAATTTTACCACAATTGGACCATAGAAGCTGCAACTATGAATTATTCTAATTAATTACAAATAAAATTATATTTTCCAATTAATCTAAGGCTACAGTAAAAATTTTGTACTAAAGCATACCGTATTATATATTCACTGTGTAGATCTACTCATGTGGAGTCCAATAAAATTAGATTTTTCATTCTATGATTTACTATAATTTTTCAAAAATTCACCGAAAATAAATAAAAAAAAAGAAAATTCAAACCCACCGGCACTATAGCAAACCCACCGTTTACTGTAGCAAACCGCTGTCAAAAACCACCCGGGGGGTAAAATAGACGGTTTTGGAAAGTTCAGGGGGTAAAACAGACGGTTTCATAGTTGGGGGTGAAGTAGACCATGCATGAAAGGTGGGGGGTTAAGTAGACTTTTTTCAATTGAATGAGGTCCTTTGGAAACAAACTTGATTATATGTAGCATATAGATATGTTTTTGTTTGGTTACGTATTTTCATGTACATAAAGACATAATAATCCTTCACTTTTTCTGAGGTTCTTAGATCCAAATTTTTATGTAGCCTAGAAATATGTTTTTATTTGGTTGTTAAAATTTTCATGTGCATATATAAAGGCATAATCCTTCCCTTTTGCCCATAGTTCACAGTACATATCTTAAAGTAACTATAAATTCTCAAAGAAAATGTGAACTCCAAAACTCTATGGATGTATATGTGGCTAGCTAAAAGTTAAGCGCAGACTTATGTAAATGTGCCCACATAGCGAGGGGTTGATCCATATGTACAGGGATGTATCAAGGAACTATTAATGCAGTTTCACTTTCTCACAACGAGATCAAGCTAAGAACACACAAGAGTTGAAGTTGGACCAATCTACTGTTAGACCAAAATATTTTACCAATTAGGAAACTAGATTTTCTCTCTCCCAATCTTATCATGCAATAGAAGTGTTAACAAAGTTGAGTTTCTTGCTATTTCGCTTAATTTAATTTGCATTGCAAAGTAGTTATCCTGATCGATAACATGAAACATAGATATAAATGGGTTATAATATGCTTGATGATAGTAGTACTAACAATTTGTATTTTGCATTGGCTATGTTCTTCAATTATTAGAAATTAGAATTTCCTAACCAACATATATGGCTTTTTATTCATTTGTTGCACCAAAAGGCCACAAAATGTTCTTAAGAAATGCAGCGCATATAGTACAATTATGAGCAGGGTGATGATTATTTGACTAGTCAAAAGGACGAGGAAAACTTGCCTTCCCCGCGATGGTTATGATACAAGTGCAAGCCGTGAACGGCATAACATTGGCGTGGATGCTGCTGAGATGGAGCTCCTCAGCCACGGTGAGCACGTTGACGACCACCCCCTTCCTCTTCTCACAGTGGACCCTCACCACCACGCTCTTTTCCGACTCCGAGAACCTGACCTCGATCTCTGGCAGCCGTTTCCTCGCCGTCGGTGTGCCTGCTGGCGGCGCCGGCAGCGAGGAGCCATGGCCGTCATCCTGTGCAGCCGCGGCATGGAGGCATGGCTTCTTGACGAGCACCAGGGTCTCGGTGCTCCTGCCGGCCTCCGCGTCTTTTAGCTTCTCTTGGAGCTCCTTCAAGTACCTTGTCGCGTCCAAAAGGATCGTCGCCTTGTCCATCTGAGGATCATCATAAATTAGTAATACGTTGCATCAAGCATGTAATTGTCGCGAACAGGTGCAGGGAATTTGATCCCGATCAAACCTTCTTGAGGCCTGGGATAACAGTGGAGAGCTCGATGAAGCGCTGGTTGATCTTCTCTCGCCGCTTCCGCTCTGCGATGATGTGGTCCTGGGCGTACGACGCCGCCATGGATCCCAAGCTCTTTAGGCCGGCTCTCCTCGTTATTGGCGGAGGTCCGTAGACCAGATCCGGCGGCGGCAGACAGCGTGTGGCCAGGGCAGGGGCCTCCGTCATGCCGTTCCTGCCAGGCTGCTGCGTGGAGGTGGCACCGCCGAAGTTCCAGCCCGCGGGCACGTTGTAATTCGCGGTGGTGTCGCCGCCGCCGTCGCCGGAGTTCCAGCTGTTTGGCGCATGGCGGACCACGACGTCGGCGTCCGCAATCAGCTCCTGGACCATTTCAGCTGCTTGCGAGGCCTCGCGGAGCGCTTTGAGCGAGGGGAAGGTAGCCTCACTGAAGTCACCGTGGTCGGCGGCGACGCCGGCGACGGATGCAGCAGGGTTCTCGTGTTGGAGCGTGTCCATCGCCCACTGCATGAATAGGCTCGAGTCCTCCATGCCGCCAGTAGTCTGAGATGAGTAGCGAGGTGGATTGTGAGTGTGTAGCTGCAGCAAATGATGATACCCTTATTTTTAGTAACTCAAAGTGCAGACATTAAAGCACAAGCAGGGCCATCAAATAAAGCAATCTTTCCATTCAAAAGACAGAAGAAGTCTGCATCATGAAAGGCAGCCTACAGCTACTACAAGTGTACTAGTACGCACTAATTGATAATATAATCTCAGTTACCTTTGCAAATGACTTGGAAGATATTGGCTTAATAATGTTAGAATAGCCATGGCCCATGGGATCCGAGGAAGTTGCCCTTTTTATAGCTTCCACCAGCACACACTATGCCTCCTTGTGCAACCGTCTCTACACTGTGTATGCTCACTTGAGTTGAGGTCACTTAGTAGTTAGTGGACTTTCTCTCACAACCAAAAGCCAAGGAAAAGAATAAGTTATAATTTCATTAGATTCTAATTATGTGGCCTATATCTAGTGAAAACGATATTCCACGCCTCCACGGAAAGTGATACACAATATATGTTCGTGTAACGTCATATCAAAAGACTTGTTTGGCACAACTTTAGTTTCAAGAATTCAGTTATAATAGAACTGTGTGATATTTTTGGAGCTAAGTCTGGAACTATGTGCATGTTGAATAATGTGTTTAGTTTGGAACATAAGAAGTGGTATATATGTGTTTAGACCATAATTTAAAGTACACTTTCCAACCCTCAATTCGCGCCGAAGTTCAATTTTTAACCTTCAACTATGAAACTGGTTAAGAAACACCCTCCAACTATTAAAACCGGACAAATTTGGTCCTCGACTGGTTTCAAAAGCGGTTTTCTATTTTCGGAAGGCGCCGAAATTTTATATTATTTTTTTGAGCATCTTAACGTGCTCAAATGAAAAAACTTAAAACTACAAAGTTGTAGATCTCATTGAGAGCTGCAACTTTGATATAAAAAGTATTTTCATTTAACTCCATACAAATAATATATTAGTGCTCTAATACGGCAAGCGCTAATAGGCGATTATTATGGTGCTCAAATTTTATATTATTTTTTGAGCATCTTACTGCCCTCAAATAAAAAAAATTAAAACTATAAAGTTGTAGATCTCATCGAGGTCTATAATTTACATATAAAAATTATCTTCATCCGACGTCCTATTGAAGAGTTATGATTTTTCAAAAGTTGAGTCTTGTCACGCGACAAAACAATACTGTGGCGTGACGAGACTCAAATTTCGAAAAATCATAACCCTTCAATACGACGTCGGATGAAGATAATTTTTATATGTAAATTGTAGACCTCGACGAGATCTACAACTTTATAGTTTTAATTTTTTTTTTCATTTGAGGACAGTAAGATGCTCGAAAAATAATATAAAATTTCAGCACTATAATAATCGCCTACTAGCGCTTGCCGCATTAGAGCACTAATATATTATTTGTATGGAGTTAAATGAAAATACTTTTTATACCAAAGTTGTAGCTCTCAATGAGATCTACAACTTTGTAGTTTTGAGTTTTTTCATTTGAGGACGTTAAGATGCTCAAAAAATAATATAAAATTTCGGCGTCTTCCGAAAATAGAAAACCGCTTTTGAAACCCGCCGAGGACCAAATTTGTGCGGTTTTGATAGTTGGAGCGTGTTTCTTAACCGGTTTCATAGTTGAAGGTTGAAAATCGAACTTCGGCGCGAGTTGAGGGTTGGAAAGTGTACTTTACCCTAATTTTAAATAGCAGGCTAAGGTGTTTAACGGTATACCTCCTCTAAATCAGCTAATAGCAGAGCTAAATCAGGCTATAGCGGGATATAATGACTAAATTATATATGAACACAAATAGCGGCACCCTGCCTTAAAAGGCTATAGCGGCAGCTATAGCGAGAGATTTAAAACATTAGTTCAGACACTAAGTAGATCTTGTGAAGTGGACAAACAAAGATCAATTCAAAAGTAGAAACAAGATCGCAAGATAAATATGGACGAAGTTCCAAATAACTAAAGCTTGTCATCATTATTTACGGCCAATATGGGAGCTGAGTGTTTTATGCGGTTTCCCTGGTATTTCTCGGACTTGAGCTTTGCCCATAACTAAGTACCTGATCATTTCCTCCCAAAATATATACTCCGTACTTCACAAAATGCTAGCTACACTCCCACTATTTTAAAATTAAGTTGCTTGTTCTAAACATTATACATTTAAATATTAAATATGGAGGTAGCAGTCGCAGAGAGTAAGAGTTACACGGCGGAAAATTTCACTTTGCATGTGAATACGCACACGGGTTAGCCACGCAAATGGAGAGTTAACTCTATTAATGGAAATCTCACTCACTCACTCACTCACACACACATAATATATATATATATATAGGAAAAGGGGTACCTTCAAACGGGAAGCGAACTCGGAACTCAAAATTCAAATTTAAAATTCTCGAGTTACTATTCACAGCACTATTCAAATTCAGATTTACTATTCAAATTCACGGCTACTATTCAAATTCGGGATATGAACAGTGCCCGAGCACTCACCGGGAGTGGCTCAACCACTTCACTATTCAAGGCAAGTGTCGCTTTCAATCTCAAATATTTTATACACGCTAGATGAGCGGGCGCTCAATTAGTGAATATAAATATTGATATGTCGCTTTCGCGATTAGCTAATCTTGTGCTTAGTGAATATGCTTATGCGGATTATTTCTAAGGATCTTCTGCAGGCTGGCGAGACCAAAAATTCAGCCGGTCGTGCGACTATGCTTGTGACAGTCCTACTCGGTACTCACCGTATGCATCACTAACTTGCTTCAGAACTAGACTAACCCGGTCTACTCCCTTGCTATCTCCAGCCACGAACACACAGGACTTAGGCCCTATCGTCTCCCCAGGCAGTTCCACCCAAGGGGAACACTTCTCTGTGCACACAGGGTTCTCTACAAACGCCGCTATCAGGGCTAACACGAGAACAACACACGTAGAGGTTTCTCCTCTAGGGTCCCTAGCATAGAGACGTCGCCCCATATGAACGAGCTTAAAGGAAGGCAAGGATTCAAACAGGAAAGCTTAATTCATTTCCACAGAGCAAGCTTACATACGGCTTTCCCTTTCGGGAAACCCCAAGCACTTAGCACAAACCTTAGGGATTACCTTACAAGCTCAGGAAGATCACAGGGACCTCCTTTATTCTCTAATTTACAAAGGTGGAATGATACAGCGGTGGTGTGTGATTACTATTATTCGTGGATGATTCTCAGAGAGCTTCTGAGATCATGTCTTCATGTGTATGTGTGTGGGTGGAGAGTTGGTGGAGTGGGTGGTGGATGAGAGTGCGTGTCTGAGGCTTTGGTGTGATGCTTCTTTGGCTCGTTTCTTCGATGCTTTCTTCCCTGATGAATGAATGCGCCCGGCGTCCTTCTTTATAGCATAAAGGAAGTGTCCTTCATTCTTATCTTCCGAAGGAGTGAGCCTTATCGTCAGAAGAAGCCTTCGAGGCGAAGTCTTCAATTATCTCTTCGTACTGTTGCCTGGACAGCTGGACGGAAGATAATTGTCCTGACTATAGTAGAGTGACTGTATATTCCTTTTGCGCTGTCCTCCATTGCGCACGGATAGTATCCTTCTGGATACAGATAGTATCCTTCTGCATATTCTTCCACGCCCGAATGATTGATGTTGCAAACATCAGATCAAAGATCATGGCATGTAATATGTATATGTATTGTATTGTAATATATATTATCTCTTCCCCCGGCCAAATTGTTGATGACACCTTATCAACATAGGGAGTATATTTCTTGTATATATATATTGATATTGAACTAAGTCTATATTGACTCTTCAATATTTTCTTCGTTGTCCACTTCTTCAGGTTGCCATATTTCATACCAGGACAACAATTCACGATATTCTTTTCGTAATTGACATTCTTTGCCATAACTAGGCTTTATTAGCCTACCAACTTCTCTCTGTATTATACTATATCTTCCATAGTATTCTCGTAAGAATACTTTTATTATTTTATTTTGGTACATCATATAATATTCAGGAGCAAACTTGGTATTTCCTTCTAATTCTTTTGCTTCACTGAAAATTCTCCAATTATCATGATTCGTGTCTTTTATGAATATCTCTTCATAATTTTGCCATGAATCTGAAGTCCATGTGGTAGGAAATTTGTATGATCCCTTCGTGATATATATATCATGGCATGCTGGTCTTATTGGCTGTGTAAACTTTGGTGGATTAGAACAAAACTTAATTTTGTATTTCCCTTGAATACATGCTAATTTTTTACAAGCTTCTTTGATAGCTATTCCAAGGTCTGATTGGAGTATTTCTTCAAGTGTACCATATATATCATAGACTAACCCATGATCAATAATAGTTTGTAAAGAGATATCATCTCCAGTATTTCTTTGTATACTTCTGAAATATTTTAAATTTATATCAGCCCTCAATATTAAGAATCTTTGATGAGGCTTAACAATTAATTTATCATCGAGATGAAGTAAAGGAAAAGTATTTGCATTCACAATTATTCCTAGATGTCTTTCTTTGCCTTGGTATAATTTCATAAAGTATTTTTGTATATCATGAAAGGTTTTGTAATGCCTTTCAGCATATTTCTTCCAAATTAGATCTATAATATCAAGAGTAAAATATGACAAAGTTTGTTCAGTCTTAAAACTTAATCTAGGTATGAGAAACTCTTGTGGAATATTATTTAAATATTTGTTTCTTTTTTCCTCTAGAATTACTTCTTTTTCTGATTGCACTTTATTTTCTTCATATATTATTTTAGCTTCTGAGTTCCTTTTCATATTGCTTTTCTGTTTTAAACATGACATGCATGCTTGTCTTAAGCATAGCCTACATGTTGCTCTTTTTGCTGGATCTTGGTAATATATGCAAAATACACAATTTATATTAGAATCACCTTTTTTATGATCCCACTTGTGCTCGCAATTTATTTGATCCATCATTTCTATTTTTAATCCTGCT